TTTGGAGCCCTAGCTCCATCTTGAAATGGCAAACTCATGCTCACTGCTTCTAATTCCAATTACCCTCATACTGCACGTCTCATGATTTCTGGGAAAAGCTAGAGTACCTCTCCTCACGCGCCAGCTATTGCTTGCAGAGCTCGGTTTCCTAATTTCATAATCATGGTATTGTCAGTAGGAAATTGCAGGGCACTAAACAATGGAAGGCAAATGAACCCTACATTAGCTTCATCAAATTAATTTTAAATTATTAGCCTCATAAAAATTGATTTTAAAATAACTGAAATCTTGTTTTAATAAGTAATTTTGTAAATTTTCCTGATCATCATAGTTAGAGAACTTGAATACTTTATTGGATAATAGGAAATGAAAATATAATTTTCTTGAGGTTTTTAAATGACTTGACAGCAGGCCACAGTGCTTCCTAGAAGAGGGTACGGATCGGATGAAGAGGCGAAGAGTTTTCAGTAGTTTATAGAAAAAGGAAAATGGCTTAATGAGCATGGTTCTGTGATAAAGGAGACTGAGTTGAAAATGGCAATTTTATACCTCTTAGCAATTGAGTAATTGCCTTTTAGTAATTTTGCACCTTGAAATCTAACTGAATGCTGCCTTTTGCATGTTGCAAATTTAGAAATTGAGATAATATGGGTAAGAGTTGGAATGAAAGATTTACTTTATTTATACTTTTTAAAAATGCTTCCCCTCAAAAAGTGAAGAACGCAACCAAGCTTGCTTGAATGTTTGGTCTATGACAGAGCTCAGGTCACTGTCAAGCTCACTCCACCCCACCCTCCTTAACATTTGCTGCAGCTGAGTATGTGGCTGTATTAATTTTCTACCACTGCTGTAACAAATTGCTATGAATTTAGAGGGTTAAAAACCATATAAGTTTCTCTTATAGTTCTGTAGGTTAGAAGTCTGTACTGGGTCTCCCTGGAATAAAATTAAGGTGTTCACAAGGCTGTACGACTTTATGGAGATTTGACTGGAAAGTTAATTCCTTGCTTTTATTGCGGAGGAGGCCACCTACATTCCTTAATTCTGGCTTCTTTCATCTTCAAGGCTGGCAACACTACATTGCTTGGACCACTCTCCACAGTCCTACCTCCCTAACCTCAGCTGGGAAAGGCTCTCTGATTTTCAGGATCCATATAATTACACTGGACTCTCACAGAAAACCCAAGATAATCTCCCCATCTTATAGTGCTTACCTTTAATCACATATGCAAAGTCTGTTTTCTTACCACATGTGCAACTGATTCAAAGGTTTCCAGGGCCATATTAGAGAGGGCCGTCTTTGTGCTTATTGATCTCCTACAATGATAGTATTAACTATAGGACCGGAGTCAGCATCCAAAGATATTAATGAAAATAAATTTAAATAAATTTGGTATAAAGTTATAAATATTAACTAATGAAAGGGAAACCACCCACTTTCCTGAAGTAAAAGATTTTCTTAGATCATTTGAAATACTTATGTGTACAAAATTTTTAAATTAGTGACTAACATTGTCATAAATTATTGTTCAGTAAGAATTCATTACCTTCCACAAGTCCATATGTTTTACATAGTTGTAATAACAATAAAACTTTACATGTAATTTATCTTAATTCTTATATAAACTATTATATGAATCAGTTGTACTTTATTAAGCTTTACATCTGATTTTACAGATGTATGTGTTTACAGATTCTTTTACTAGGATAGATAATGCTCCTAAAAATTAGTGTGCTTTTATTGAATAAAAATTCCTTATAATAACTCCTGTGAGTAAAATTAGAATCAGAATACGTGGCTGTCTAGTGGCTGCCTGTGATTCCTCTCTTCTTATTTGTTTATAGAACAATAATTTCATCTGGGCATTCAGGGGGAATCTGGTCGAGGGCCATGGATCAAACACCAGACCATGAATTTGTTTTATAAGCCAAGCCTGGAAGATCTCACTCCCTCTCAGTGTGCAGTTTAAGAATTATCTGTGATTCAGTGAGACAAAAGGAAAATGAGTGAAGGCCAATGTCTATGTGAAGCCTTAGAAGAATTTTGGTGTAATTTTTTCCTCTGTCTATCTAATTAGCTGCCTATCTGTGTCTTAGTTATATACTTGTAATTTCAAGAGAAAGCTGAGGTTATGTAAGCAGTATTGGAAGATCTCATTTCCTGTTGATTTATCAATACTGAGACCAATACTTATCAACGGGGTGGAAAAAGCCTCAAGACATGAGGAATTCAAAGAATCAACTACTTACTAGTACCAAGCTAACATAGCTAATTTTAAATCTCACAATAGGGCTTATTTTCCCAAGAAGAGTACAGACTGATCTAACCCAGTGGTTAAGTACTCTTCTGCACAGAGCAAAGAGGTGTATGAAGACTTTGTTCTTTGTCTGTAGTCAAGCTCACTAACCTTGGGGCTGGGCAGTGGTATTATGTCCACGTTAACTCTTAGGGGCCCACCATTTTTTTCTCTAATTCTTAGTTTTTGAAAGGCATTATGTTGCTCTCTGTTAATATCATCATTCTTCAGAGGGCAGAAAACTCTAATACGGTCTTGAAAGAAAGAGAATTCTCAAGAGTAGAAATGGATACTAGGGTTGAAAGAATTCCAAGGGCAAAGAACAGAAATAAAGGCCAAGCAGGAAAGAACAAAGGGATGTTCTAGACCGGTGAGATGCTGTCAGAATTTCGTCTGTGTGGGCCAGTAGCAAGAGATAAGACCGTGCTGAAGTAGAATGTAGAAATCCTTAAGCACTGAATTAAATTTTTATTTTGTAGACCGTGGAAGATACGGATATTGTTTTGGTGGGCAGGACTTGATCAGAGTTTGGATTTAGGAAGCTGAATCTGTGGTGGGATAACATCTGTATGTCTTGTTTTACTGCTTAAATTTCTGCAAAAGAGGAATACCACAGACTGGAGAGTTCAAATATCATTTATTTCTTACTGTCTTGAAATCTGGGAAATCCAAGGTCAAGAAGCTGGCTGATGTGGTTCCTGATGAAGACCCTTTATCTCACTCTCACCCAGGACAGAAGGACTGAGCTGTGGTATTTTTCCCTCTTCTCATTGGACCCTAATCCTATCACCAAGGTCCTACCCTCATGACTCATCTAAACCTAGTTACTGCCTATGAACCTCTAACGTCATCAGATTAAAGATTAGGTGTTCAAGCTATGAATTCTGGGAAAGCACCTACACTCATTCCATCGCACACCCGATCTGGTTGTCTGTTTGTACTATAACTCAAACACAAAAGGGGGTTGAATGCAGGGAGAACACGACAAGACCAAAGGCAATGCAGAGGAGGAGGCAAAGGAATGCTTCAACAGGGACTTTGAGCGACTGAACCAGGAGTGTGTATTTCGGTTGTGTGTGGTTAGGGGTGTGTTTAGTGCTCAAGAATGTTGAATTCAACTTGGAATATATGGGCAGGTCAGAATATGTGAGCCTCCAGGGAGAGGCCGGGTTCCCTAGAAAGGCACTCTAGGTGTCTACTGCAGTCACATGCTTACTCTGGTTCTCCATAGCCACATTTTTTAAAAAGCAAAAGGAAACAAGTGGCATTAATTTTAATAATACATTTTATGGGACACTATGTCAGGATGAGCAGTCACACAGTATAACTTCCACATTACCAGTGTTCAGTAGCTGTGTAGGTCCAGCACGGGGAATTAAGGAGATGGTTATGCAAAAGCACTTCCTTCCATTGCTTGTGAATAGGAACTCATGTTCTTGCCTTTATATTTACAGTTACGAATAGCACTATAGGAACAGCCATGAACAAGCTCCTGGTACAGGGAGACCGCACAGCACACTCCAAGGGTTGTATTGCTGGAGGAAGCAGAGAAAGTGTAGTCTAGCTGTGTAATAAGTCGGGTGCTTCAGTTCCCATGCCCAGTGTTACTGAGCAAGGGCCCTCAGAGCTCTGCACCCCACTGACATCCGACACTCACATTTCTTCACGTAGGTCCATCTAGTGAGTGCAACACGGCTTATTTTGCATTTGTCATAATTTGCATTTTTTCTGATGATGAATGAGTTTGAACATCTTTTTATATCCATACAGACTTTCATTTTTTTCTCTTGTGGGAAAAATCAGTCACTTACAAATATTTATTAACTCACGTATAAACCTATTTATATGTATTATATTCATAATCTATATTTTCCTTCAAATATAAGTATCTATTCATTTACAAATACTTAATGAGCACCTACTAACTCCCAAATAACTCCTAATACTGAGAATGTATCACTGGGGGGAAATTAGTTCCAAACCCAGGCCACTAAGGAGTTTACGTTCCAGTCCAAGGAGACCACAAAGACCAAAATTAAAACAAAAACAGTAAAATTCATATGTCTTATGGTATGAGTGAACTTAGATTTAAGTTTAGCTTAGCCATTTTATATCATTCACTCGGTTTCTGCAACTGTAAAAAGAACGTAGTAAGACAATCTATCTGACATTGTTTTTTAAGTACATGTGAAAAATTTAACATGGTCCTTGGCAGATTAAAGATGCAGGAAGACTAATAACAACGACATTACAGTTGTTTACTCCTATTTTGCTACTACTCTTTTTTAGTGATTTCTTTTAGTTTGAAATACTAAAGTTTAAGCTCAACTGTATCTTGCTTATTGTTGAACTGTTAACTCTCATTAGGGTCTCAATCTACTGGTGGTTTTAGCAACAAGAAAGATGGATTAAGTTAATTTCAAAATGTGCTATCTTCAAGTCTTTTAAATTCCAAGGACCAAGAGCTGAGAACATGCACAATTTTTAAAAAGCTACATGTCAAACAATGAAAAAAAATGTGGGGAGATACTTAGGAATGTCTTCTTTAATTCAGGACTGTTTTCTGCGATTGTCAATGTTATTTGAATTAATCATCTCAATTCAACAACCAACTTAGTGAAAACCCAGTACATGCAGAGTACCGTGCAGAGGAGGTGTGTGCAGCTTTACTGATCTCTGGAAACATTTCTTCTTCTTTCTTAGATAATGATGTTGAGAATGATCTTCAATCAGACATCAGTTGAGCACTGCAAGACGCAGACGGAAAAGCAGAAAGAATGCCATTTCTTCTTGATAGCTGTGCGTTTGGCTTCCCTGAACCAGATCTTGGATCCCTGGGTTTATCTGCTGCTAAGAAAGATCCTTCTTCGAAAGTTTTGCCAGGTAGCAAATGCTGTCTCCAGCTGCTCTAATGATGGACAGAAAGGGCAGCCCATCTCATTATCTAATGAAATAATCCAGACAGGAGCATGAAAGAGAACACTTAACCAACTTGCATGTCCATGGCTTTTGACAATGAATAGTTCCAAACCTTGCGAATTTAGGCATCTCTGGCATGCCGTTACTTATGCGCTGAAACAGAATTTTTGATGGAAAGCTAAATGGTCTGAGAACCACAGATAATCTCTTATGTGCCAAAAGTACTGAAACATAAACAAAGAAAAAATATATTAATAACAGTCCAATGTTTCTGGGTCTCTGCCATTTGCAGCCGGGTGTGTGATTATTTAAAACATTATAAATGATCTTGACCTACTGGGGAGATAAGAACAGTTCATATTCCAATATACTGAGTGCTTGGGACATTTAACCACATTTATCACTGAAGACAAGAGGATAGATGCTTGTTTTTGTTCAAGGATGTTGGTTTTCTGTGTTCTCTTTCATTCTCTTTCATTTTTCCTCTGTCACTTCCTCCCACTTATGTCTTTTAAAAAACAGTTTAGGTTGAAAAAAATGTATCTATAGCGCTCATTAACATTGATGTTATTTAAATATTGCTCGGTATCTTATGAAGTTAGAGTTTTGGTTCGGTTGGATTCTGAATAAGAGCCTTATCTGCATAAGAGCCAATTGTATGTGTGGTCAATGTGGTAGAATTTGTGGAAGACCCAAACTAACTGTGCTTTCTCCCAAATACATTTCGCATTCCTATAATTCTGGAGAAGACTCATGAAACTGATCTATGGTACTCAGGGAAGCAATCCCTCAGAGTGTTATTTTAGGGACTGATATGAACACTAAATATTAGTATTCTTTCTCTCATTTTTTCCACCAGGAAAATTCTCCAGGCTTTTGGGTCTTCAAATACCAACCCTGATTCTAAAACAAATGAATATTTAGAAAGTTCAATAACGTCTTTCCATAGTTCGGTCTATTTATAGGGTAAGAAAATTAATAACATAGACCTCTCACAGCTCTGTGTCTGACCCTCCCTCAAAGTCGCTCTATCTAAATATTTATTATTCATTTCTTTCTTACGGTCCACATGAACACAAACCCCAGTAGCTTGGCTTAATATCTCAGTGGCGCAAGTAAATAACCATACTAAGTTTTGGGAATTGTACTTTAAAAAAAAAACTTGCCCCCAAAATATAGCAATCCTTTAAGCTAAGACGCTATGAAACACTTGGTATATTCCCTTTGTAAACATTTCCTTGTGAATATTTAATTTATATTGTATTTAATTGCTTCCTAGGTTTTTTTCTCACAGCTTAAGATTTATTTATACTTCCTGTAGCGATGGCATTTTTCTTTATATGCAGTAAGCACTCAGGAAAGAATTATTTTTAACATGAAGAATGTATCTATCAGATTAATATGTATACTAGTGTAGGTCAATCAGGAATCATCGGTTTAAATGACCACATGAAGCTGAGTTGGAAGACAAACTGGGCTGAGAGTATTCATGTAGTTTAGGATGGTTCCATTAGTCCTAGGTTGTAGAAAAGATAAGAAAAAAATAGTATTAACACACCATTATACAGTCTCTCTCTGCCACAGGGTTTGGCCAAGTCATTGTTCATTTCTTGGGATATAGAGAAAAACTATCTACTTTTTTTTCCCTCAGGAAAAAAGTACACTTAAGTGACCTTAGGCTAAAAATGATTTCCCTCTGTAGTTTTCCTCTGTCCCTCGGTTATAACCAGATAGACGAACCTGCAGCAAGGGCTTGAGCGATATGGGTAAAATTGGCTTGTTCCTTCCAGCACCTCGTATAGCATCTGGGATACAGAAATTGCCCGCTAAGTCTTCGTTCACTGACTGAATGAAGAAAAGTCTGCAGAGGTGTGTGCTCACTGGTGAGGCATGCACCATATAGTTGAAGCCATTCTTGCCATCACAGTCCATGAAGTTGATAAAGGAAATGATTTCTGCTTATTTAATTATAGGAATACAAATTTATCTTCAAAGCTGTAGTGTCATGCTGTTGCACAACCAAATGCTTTATTTGTATTAATAAATCAGGAGGCATATTTCCAAATGGTAATGGAGATTGTCAAATTATACCAAAAATACAGAAACACATCAGAGCCTGAAACTGAACTACATAATAAATTCCTGGCCAGGTAGGAGTTGACAAATGGCTGTTTTAGAACTGTCTTGGAAAGGAGATGAAGGACAAATTATATAAGTAGCACATAGCTTTTGTTTTGCAGGCAGCCATTTGTTAGGCTAAGGAAAACTGGATAAAAGATAAAAATTCACAATGATTCAACATCTGATGATACTCAAGGTTAGATTTCACAGATGTTGTATAGGTGCTCTTCATAGTGTTACAAAGAGGGCATTTACAGTCATTCTACAAGGTTATGTCTGTTTCTGAGTTTAAGTTTATTGGCCATTAAAATCACTTTTATATCCTTAGCATATCCATGCCAGCAGTTTATCTAAACGGGAAAAGAAATTGTGCGCATAAGTTGTGACTTTCTGAACTTCAAAACACTGGTTTTCAAAAAAAAAAAAAAAAAATCAGAGGCCTAAAAACCCCCCTGGAAAGAAGCAAGTGGATGGAATGTAGAAGAATGTAAAATCAGCAAGTGTGTGTGATTTTTCAAACTATATATATATATATCCCCCCCCCCACGGGGAATTGAACTCACGACCTTGCACTTACCAGGCGTGCTGTGCCCCTGAGCTAAATCCCCAGCCCCCTCAAACAATATATTTATACACTATACTATGTCATGGATGAGAATGGTGACATGTTACCAAATAAGTAATAAGAATATTACTGCTTAATAAAATAAGTGCGGTGAGTTTTAAAAATATATTTTAATTGAAGAAACAAAATATGTCATTTCAAAATTTGCCAAGTTTACCTAATGTGGTGCATTAAAATACTGTAAATAAACCTGTTTAATTGCACCAGATTTAAACTACCCTGAAATAAAAGATACATTTGTATTTCTACTTGAAAGCTCTCTGTGTTATAAAAGAGCTCCTGACCATGTTATAGAAGAGAATTAGAAAACTTTGTATAAATTAACTGTTAAAAAACTTCCCTGGCCAGACAGCACTGAATAACAGAAAAACAAAAAACTATGCCAAATAGTATTCTAGTGAGATCATCACTCTGTGACAGTATTCTAGTACTAGATTTTCAAGTGCATTAGGTCTTTTATTTACTCAATGCTTTCATGTTTTTATTGTTTTTTTTGTTTTGTTTTGTTTTTTTCCTGTGTCGGGAATCGAACTCATGACCTTGAGCTTGCTAGGCAGGTGCTGTGCCGCTGAGCTAAATCCCCAGCCCCTTATTGGTTTTTGATCCCAAACTAATGACCAGCTTTCATAGCCTTCCCCCCATCGACACTCATTTGATGTTTTTTTAAAATTAGAATCAAATTAGAAACAAAATAAGAAAAAACCTTGACCTTTGAAATATGAGGCACATATATTGCCTACTTATTTTCATAAATTAACCCCAAAAGCTTGTCCCATAACAGACAAGATCCTAGGAGCTGAGTGATATAGAGAATTGAGCATTTGTTACTTATTAACACCTTAGAAGCTTAATTAAAATTTATTTTATCCATAAAAACATTTAGCTATTCCACCACGACAGATTTTCACAGATCCTTATTGCTCATTGTTTACTTTCTATGACTCAAAATCTGTTAAAATTGAAATCTAAATAAATGTACAGAATTGTTCAACTAAGACTAAGTCCATTAAACTTTTTCTGAGTTGCAGTAAAATGCTACTAAAAGGTGAGATATATCTGTGATGATTCAGGATATAATTTATGATACAGCAGCTGACAAAAGTGAAAAGTCAACCTAAATTCACATGCACATTTGCTATGACACTGACCAAAATTCAGTGTTACAAGGAAATTAACAGGTGGAGATTACATAGGAAACGTGAATCAGAGAATTAGGGAAAATACTCTATTTTGCCTATTCTATAATTCCTGAAAGAAAAATTCTATTGTAATTTGTACAAGTCGAACTGTATACCATGGTATCATATCATAAGCAGAATACTTAATGATTCTTTAGAAATATAATTCAATTAAATATATCATATTCATTTGTATGTGTCATAGTTCCTTTATTGAGAATGAAAAATATTTTATTTTCAGAAAATTTGCATCAGTCTCTTGCAGCTCAAATGCCGACTGGATTTTATATTTCTTCATGAGGAACTAGTTTGTTTCCCCAGGTTCCTCTCTTCAAAGTTGCCTTACCCATTCTCTCACAGAGAGAAAGTAACAGGGATATTTACTTTTGGTGAGGCTGGGATTATATGAAGAGAAGAACAAGTTTGTATTTCTAATACACCAGCACCCTAATATGTAAAAAGATTGCAATCTGCTTTGTGATCAGAATCTGTTTTGCTTCATGGAGCAAGTTTACTAAGGGAGCCTTGAGAAAGGCGAGAGAGAAATGGGGAGCGAGAGAGAAACAGAGGGGTCACCATCAGGAAGAGATCAGCTTTTCATGGTTTCTGAGCGTGTTGGAGATGATCCCACAACTTCAGATAAATTCAAACCTGCAAGTTCTAAACTGTACCCTGAAATTCTATAAAATGGGAATATTTGCTCCTACAGTTACAGTGAGTCAGATACCTGGCCAAAATCTAACCAATTGCTAAACTTTAATGGTAATTTGGTTTTTTTTTTTGTTTTTTTTTTGTTTTTTTTTTGTTTTTTTTTGGTTTTTCTCCAGTACCAGGAACCGAACTCACGACCTTGCTCTTGCCAGGCAGGCGCTTTTGCCACTGAGCTAAATCCCCAGCCCCTGGTAATTTGAAAATAGTTTCCTGAGATAGTTTTCAGTTTCTAAGGAGGTCAAAGCTGTCTTGTCAAGCAAGGGAAAATATGGATGACTGGTGGACATATTCCAATACTCTTTCTCCGTTTGAAAAGATGCCCTTGTGAG